GTCAAAGCTTCAAATCTGCAAACAGGTGAGGGAGCTAAACACCTACATGACCGCATGATTGAAAGAAACCGAAGCATTGAATACATCGTATGACAACAATAGCAAGTCACAAAGCATAACGATCAGATGCTCTATGCTTTGAGTGAAATCATGGGCCCACGCATCCGGATCTGGCAGCATCAATCTATCTGATAGACATCGCACGATCCGGGCATGTTGTTCAACAATACAATTTAAGAGGATCGGGGTCTGTAGCTCTAAATCTTTCGGTTAGTGATCTAACACGAAACATTGGCGAGAGGTACGGGGATTTCACGCCCACACTATCCCAAGATTTGCCTTTACGGCATAGAAAGTGCCTCTAGTCTTGTAACATGATATACCGTTGTGCGAGACTTTAAATCTAGCGAGATTCGAGACAATGGTCTCTCAATCATTTAGTGCGTGCACTAAATCAGCAGTGGGCTTACTGAATCATTTGCATCTTTCTATATCAGAGTTCCACGCGCGTATCTTTGCCAGCAAAGAAAGCTTCAATGGTATTCTTGCTGGTAGCGATGGACATGCTAAAGATCCCCAAAGTTATTTTGACTTAAGAAACATCACTCCCTTAGTCTCACCGGACTTGTGCTTGGCTTAAGACTCGGTTTGGTATATCGTATGTTACGGCAGCTCCATCAACTGGATGGCTCCTGTCCCCTGACGACCCTCCACGTTGTTGTAAATATGAAACATATCACGATCTTTGCGTGCCGGAATTCGGCTCCTTTGACTATTGACCACCCATAGTTTAGGCTTGATCTTCACACGCGCCGCATTTAATTCGGTGTAGCCCGTTAGTAGCTATACTCTGGGTTTTACCTAGAAGAGCATACTGTGATTTTTTAACCTTCGCACGGGTATTACATACGACCAAACACCTTTCAATTGTAGTCCAAGCAATTTATCATGAAGCTATCGAGCCCAAAACGCAGTGTTGGCTGTATGATATATATAAACTGTATGGCTGTATTCAGCAATCAGGTTGCAGCTCTTGGGCGTTTTTCATCATTTATAATGAACATGACTAATCATTGCTGGTCATGATCTGCCATTCGGTGTCTACTTTGCTACACTCATAAGGATACGTTTGCGTCTTTTAGCGCACTTTTGTTCAGCGCGACTGCCTCCTACTAAGAACAAAGCGTGACATTTTCTTGCTCACTCTTAGAGCTCCAATCTTTGTTTTACCAACCTCACTTGCCAATAGAGGAATCATGTAATTCGCTTGTTAAAATGAGTTAATCTCACATGAAAGTCAGGGAAAAAAATCGTATAGGTAGCCAATTTGGTGCCCAAGAGTCTGATTGAGATAGGACCATGACTCACCAAAGCTTTGTAAGAATGTACGAAACGGCTGGTATCTCGTCGTGCCAATAAATATCAAGGCCCGTCCTCACCACAGTACGCTAAAAATCAAGTCGTGCTTGTTCATGTCCAGGATCAAGCACAGCTTCGGAAAATCAAGCTTAGGGTCGTCGTATACTATTATGATGATAACATTTTCTAGGGTTTAATGAGACCTGCCAATTTCCTCTGCTTTTTCATGATTGACAAACCTGTCGCAATTCCGTCAGACTTCAAACGCCACGACGATCCTCTACGAGTCGATATTATGAAATTTTAGATGTCCGATTAAGCGCGGTGGAACCAGCAGTCATCATCTGCCTGTAAATCATTCAAAAACACTTAAGCGTCCCTTTGATGCGTGACACTCCCATGTTTTGCGATGACTCCGCGCTTTGCTTAATGGATGTAGCGACCCACTAAAGCGTAAAAGTTTTCTGTATTTGTGATCGTGGTTTCTGTCTCTGAACCCGCAAACATTGTGAGGATGATAGAATTCTTATCTGCACATAACCACAAGCCAGACAGGAACGAATCATATGCATCGAGTTGATGCAACATAGCAATGTATGTTGTTTTGCTCCGCCACACTTAAGACCGCTGGCGTTAAATAGACAGTAGCGGTATTGCTACTAGCGGGGGTTCTAGTGAATGGCGTCACTCTGCCTTCTTGTGGGAATTACACGGATAAAAACCGCAAAGATTGAGAGTACATGTTTATGGGAGTACAATCTGCTTTTTTAATCGATGAGACCTGCACTTGAAGATCTCGGTCCGGCCTACTCAAAAGCTGATGACTATAAACTACAAATTTATAACTTCTCTCTATACTGCAAAGAAAGCGCGAGCACTACCGGGACTGATCGCTGTCGACTGAAAGGTGACACGCAGCCCCTTACGTAATTACGACTTGGGTGTCCACGATTTTGGTGTAATCGTTACAGACGTGTACAAGTTAAACAATTTGTCCAATCACTTAGCTTGTAAGGTATAGAGATAACGCTAAGTCTGTAATCCTAGCCGCCTCCTACCGCTACGACTTCTGGTCCAGAAGTGATTTTTGTAGACTAGACCATCCTTTGTAATGGTACACTTTGAGACTCGCAAGTCTGAATTGCATTCAATATCCCTTATATCGACCCTGAGCGCACTACTTACGCGACGAATAAAAGCTGGTTGACGTTTTCCTCGCGTTTAATGTACTACCGACAACAATAACACAGATTCTTAGGGCATCAACCCCAATAAACTTGCTATTTAAGAAGGGATTCATAATAAGAGCCGGTCAGATAGATGCAATCGTTTGGTTTATATTATTATCAAGTATACAAATATTTTTCTGCTCTTATACGGTTAGGAGTGACTTTAATTGTTATTTGTTTAAAGGGTAGATACACAACACCTTGCTGAAGAAAGTATCTGGGGTAATTCTGACTCCCTATTGATAGACCTAGCTATACAGGGGTGGGCAACACAACATGGTGTGACTGTACAAAGGTGTGGATTACACAAGTTGGTGTAATCACACAATGATGTGGTCACAACGTAACAAGAAGCCACTCTGTGGTGGGCCTGCCGGTAGTCATGCATACTAATAAAGTTTAATTATTTAATCAAGGTAACCCAGGTTTTAGATATAGGCGGCTCTGCCGCAAATAAAACAGATAGATACATTTTAATTTTTGAACGGAAAAGTGTGTTTGTCTCGGTAAGGTTTTGGATACTTGTGTAAGACAATTCTGAGGCGTAACAACACACCCTGTAGCGGGGCTACCGTAGCTCTTTGCATAGAGAAAGCTAAGCTGGGGTCACAGACCTAAAGCTCTATACTAGAACCAGTACGAGTGTAGCGGATCATAATCCGCCCCAGCGACATTCGTTGTCTGGTGATACAGCTGTTCAGACCACTTCGTGCATACGCACACACCTATTTCAACTATGTTATTGTTCATTACCGTGCCGAAGACAGGAAGTTGGATGTGAACATCACTTGCACGTAGTGCGAATGTGTGCGCTTGATTTTCTTGTTTGTTTGGCGTTATCGAAAATCAATTCCTGAATGCCTTTCTAAGAGCATAATTGGCGGGAAAATCTTGCGAAAACCATTACCATCGTTAAGAGGACAGCTGCCCTACCATAGTCGTTTATATGAGTAGCGTGGTCTGTTTGCTGACGCACAGTGCAAATTCCGGCGTGGTGCAAATTCCGGCGTGGCACGAACTCGCGACAATTTTCTTTGAGGGGATTACATGGTGCTTGAGGCTAAAGAGATGGCCTTAAAGGCTGCGAAATAATGCATGCCTCAAATCTTTCTTTTCCGGACCCGGCCTGATCTATTTACGTCGCCCGTCAGGCTATGCTTTGCTCCAAGCCGATGTGTCATGAATATGTCAGTGCGTTTGAATATTGTCAGTATGAAGTGATAAAGAGAAACTATTCATCAGCTGACAAAGCGTTACTTGCTTTATAGAATGCTCTTGGTTATTACGCGTACACACGCTTGGCTCGAAGCCATTTCTGTTTTCTATGATGCGAAGTTACGCACAGCGACACCGTCCTCACATCACCAACAGAACATGGCAAAACGTATTTTGTCGAGTATACCTTCGAGGTTAAGTTTTAGCCGGGTCGCTTGATTTGTGATGGAAGTGCTTTTATAAAAGACGCCACCATCGCATGTCATGATTTTCAACGTTGTGCATCGATGAGACAATTCGGATAACGTATGGGTCAGATGCAACATGTGCCACACTGTTGAAGTAAGGAGGTTTGGAAATCGGATGCCACTAATCCAAGCGTTTGGTATCGCGATTTCACTGCTGTTTCTTGTCCAAAGGCTTGCGAGGCTACAAGCTGGACCAACATGACAAGAGCGTGTGACATTGCCTCATAAGAAGGATCTCACGTAAAAAGTACCTTGCAAATTATATCATACCCATGGGAGGCCGTTCTCAGTATTGAGAAAGCTTGCGGCTCAATGAGTGCTATGTACTGGTGGCCCAGCATGTATAAATAAGCGAATACTTTCGTGTCGATCGGGTACAACCCTCGCCACATGTGTTGACGCCCTGTCAACTAAGAGTTCGCTATAAAATAGTGACGCTTTTCGATGTTGAAATCTAATCCCTCTATTGACTTAAATACCATCGAGAATGAGAGCAGCGATGGCAGCCTGATGATAAGGTGAGCATAGCTCGCGTTGAACCCGTGGATGAAAAAATGGGATAATGACACCTTACGATGACGCGAGAGAGTAGACAATTTTCTTCAAAAAATTGCTCTTAAGTTGCGCCTTAGAAGGACAATAGCGTATGCGATATCTATGATTCGTAGTGGCTGTCAAAAAATCACTGCGTAACCAGACTACATCATATTCTTCGGTGCAGAGCACACATTTATGCTTGGTCTGTTAACTGCTAGCTATTCTAGACATACAGCGTCGGGAGGCGGAAGCCAACTCGGACACATACTTGAGCTAGCAGACAATTTTGACAACGACGCAAGTCCATCAATAAAGCACTGAAAATCAAAAAGTTATGTAGCATAGATGATATCTGAGCTACAGGCTAATATTCAGCTCAGATTTTCATTCTAAAATTCTACGAGGTCTTCTATCAAAGGTAGAGCGATACATCTGGGTCCCGTCCAAAAAGCTGATTCCATGAAGGTGGAATGGCTAAAGGAAGCGTCGGTGGCATCGTGTCGGGCATTGAAGTCGCGGTCTTCATCTCGATTTGCAGAATATGAAAAAGTTGCGTTGTCATAGCAATTGCGTCTGGGACATTATTTCCCTCGGCACACGACATCAACCAAGCGACGAAAGGCAAATTCTGCTCGCCACATTGAGCGTATAGCAGTGGGGCGAGGCCAGCACCACGGACTGAAGCCCATTGATTGTTTGATAAAGATGAAGCCCCATTCGTTTCTCCAACGTCAGAACCAATTGTCAGGTTTTTGAAGCGTGCAAGACACGAATTCTTGCGGGGATCAAAGGAACAAATGGTGCGAACTGGGCGACTGCAAGCAAGAAGTCAGCACAGATCCACCTATCGACAGTGTATGACAAACCTCATCATGTTATGGTCGTGACGCAGCATATCATCGTATCCTCCCACTGCACAAAGTACTGATACCTTGCTCTTAATTGCCCACTCTACAAATTCCTTAACAAATGCATGCACCCGTCCCTACAGCAGCGATAAAAAGCAGAATTGTAATCGTTAGACGCTTTGTGCTCGCACGTAACAGATCGACGTCGCACTGGAAACACAGGAGCTCGCTGTTGAATGATTGTGAGCTTTATCTCATTGCTTTGGTAAACTGCACACATGCATTAGTCCTTTGAAATTATTCTACTCAATGTATGTCACATACCTTCTAAGTTAAGACAAAGATCATGTGGCGATTGCTTAGCGAAAGCTGCACTCCCAGCGATTGGAGGAGCAGCTTCACTGAGCAGATGGCCGACTTTTCTTAGCTCTACGCCCTGATTTGGGCTCATCGCCAACATCTGGATCAGTCATCTTTTACCGAGCAATTTGATAGCGCAAATCAGAAGACATACAAATGTTTTCCCATCCTGAAGTAGTGTACTGATAACTAGGTCAAGCGTCAGTTGGCCTAAATTTGCGTTGGAAATGGCGGGCTAATCAAAGTCATAATTCGACATTAAATCGGCGTATGCATTGGCAAGCTGGTTAAAAAAGTAATAAAAAGGAAGCGTACCAGTAGCACTACATTGTGTGCGAAGAGCGCCGCACATGCGGCTGCGTCGGCAGCATATGCTGCATCACAAGGATAGAATTCCATCAAAAAAAATATCGAAAATTCGTTAACTGTGATTACTATACATCATTTTTGATATTCCTGCTACCCTATTCTTTTATTTAGCCATTCAGTGCGAGGGTGTTAAATGCTCCAGCTCCGGTTTCTTCTGAGCACTCTACCACCACCTTATATCCCATCCAATGCAAAACAGAGAAGTTGGGAGAGAATTTCCATGTGTGACGATTCGGATTTCACAAATCAAAATACTCCCAAGTGGAGATTTAACGCTTGCCCGATACTATCAGCAGCGAATACCAACTACGGAATATTGATTGAATGAATTTATTTCGTAGATTTCATCGTGTACCCTCACATGACCTGACTGACAATGGGCATCAAAATAGGCTCAATCGCACAAGCCGACTATCTCAAATAAGTCGCATCTCAGCAGTCAAGCCAATACTTGAGTCATCTGGAACGCTTAGACACTGTCGAAAACGTGATCGTCTTAGGGCCTACCTCGCTCGTCGACGCGATATCAGAAGAAACGAGAGTTTGAGACCATACCTTTGGCCAGCGATGCTGTCAGCTGACAAAGAGGACGATCGATCTTCTAATGACACAGAAGATGGTGACGATATGTACATGGTGGAATTTCGAGATGACTTGGAGTCGGGTGATGAATTGTTCTCAAGAGGTGGTTATGTGACTCCACCGGTGGAGATACCGGAGATGTACCAAAGGCAAGACCGTTTTGGCGGCATCACCGTAGCAGGAGCTCGCGTGGTGTTCACTTATGCAGGTTTTAAGCGCCAGCAAGTGATACGAGTTAAGCTTCAAACAATTTTTGAAGGTGAATAATTCATACCGGGCTACACTTTGTGAGCATCATTTTTTTCTGGATTAGATAGAATACGTATCAGATAAATCAATACCTTGTAGCTTTACGTAACTTCGTATTCACTTTATCTCTGACATAAAGGAGACTTTTCAATTTTCAAATGTTACATTGTTACTGACAGAATGGCAAGCTGAAGCTACATAAGGACAAAAAGCACATTCAGCAAAAGTTGGTTTCGGATCGAAATGTCCCTCTCGTAAACGTGAAGCGACCTCAACAATGGCATTTACAGCTTCACGCTCAGCTTTTTCAGAAAAGAGTTCAAATCCTATCTTGTTTTTCTTTCTGCTGTATGAAGTTTGTCTTTTATTACTGAGATCATCTCGCTCTTCCACAAAGTTCTCGCCAATTTCCTGCAACTGTGCTCCATATGGTGCCTCTCCGTAAACTTTGCGGAAAGCGTACATGTACAGTTTCAATTGTAGACTGTCGACCACTAGCTTCTGCATATTGCGCTGAGCACCACTCATGTTCGACTTGAATTCTTTAATGACTAAAGAGGAGGAGCCACGATCATTATTTGAAACGCGGTCAATGCGATCCCAAACTCCACGCAACTCAATATTAGCTTCAGGTACAAAAATTGAAAACTCTTGTTCAACGCCAACAATTTCTTGGTGTTGCAAGTCATCGTGGTGTGATTGAGCAAAGTCATATAACGCCATCATCCCTCGTTCGAACAGGACAGAAGCTTGCTCGCTAGAAGTGAAGAGACCGTACCCATCGCCGACCCAAGAACTCCGAAAAGCTGCCTTCGCTTCGATAGCTGCGAGCATCTTGGCCTCCTCTGTCACCATTCCACGCTGTTGTGCAGCAGCAATAACTTTTGCAAACGCTGCGATACCTGTATGCAAAGCACTTCCAAACATCATTGAAGTCGACATGTCCCCATTCAACTTCATCACACGACTCAAATAGTATCGATGTGGGCAACGTAAGTACTCTGAGATCTGTGAATATGACAAATGCGACGGCTCATACGATGGACTTGTTAGGGGTAAAGCGCGAAGGTGAGGAGTTTCGGCACGATCTGAAATCTTTTCTCTAAGAAGCGGTTCTTTATCTTGTTCCTGTCGGGCTCTAGCAGCAGTATCATCGTTTTTGCTCAAGCTTCGATAAGTATTTATGGCCGCGTGGGGGTGTAACATGCGATTCGCGAGCTCACGCATAAACCTTGCAGCTTTCGAGAACCAAGAGTACGAGGTATCGATCATCTTTTCTTTCGAAAAAAATTTGTCAAACGCCAAATGTTGACTCTTCTCGAGATCTTCAAAAGATGTAATTTCATTCAATTTTCTTTCTTCTCCATCTTCGTTCATGGTGAATCCTTCTGGCTCATCGCCATCATGCCAGATCGGTTGTAAAGTCCGACTTAAAACTTCGCGCTTGGATGATGAAGATGCGAGCTCAGCGAACGAAAGCACAACAGCATTGTACTCTGCTAGCATCAAGGCCTCGTATGCAAGTCCTTCGCATTGCTTTAAATGTTCCAAACGTGTCTGCACCGGGTATGGCTCGCTCAGCAACTCATACGGAAGTGGGAGCGTGAGACGCTTCATTCGTCCTGGAAACTTGCTATCACGCATAGACATCAGCACTAACGTGTGCTGATTACTACTACTTTTTGCTTCTGTAGCCGCAATTGATGTAAGTGTGTGTTTTGCCAAAGGAAGTACACGTACGGACTCATTGTTCGTGGAAAAGTCTGCACTCATTTTGTCTTCCCAAGACGCAGATGGTGTCAAGCTTGTTTCTCTTAGTTGTTGTAGATATGGAGTCACAAACGTCACTTTATCACTTTTGACGATATTTTGCACGGTCTCAAGCTCTCGTAAGAAATCTGCGAGGAGTAAAGCCTCACGTTCTTCTGCTGGGGAGCTGGGATTCACCAGACTTGTCAGCCTACCAGATTCTTCAAGAAAAATCTGGACGAGTTCAACAGCAGACATTTCGTGACACTTAGCACGCAATCGCTTGATAAGATTTACAAACGATTCAGCCTTCTTTAATCCAGTTTCAAGTCTTATAGCATTTAATTGAGACCGCTCCACTTCGTCAGCATCTTTGCGAGTATATGACGTCCCGAGTGACGTTCCTTGGCTGTTCACAAATCCTTCAAGAACCGTAAACAGATCTACGTGGCTACGATGATCTTTCTCCATTAACCAAGAGAGTAATTCTGGTGGAAAAGCGATATAGTCTGATCGTAAGATATTGTATAGATGGCGTGAGTCACTCGGGAAGCACAAGGCACACAAGAGTGAGTATACCGCATTTATTCCAGGTTCATCAAATAGGTGAATTGGCTTTCCGGTGGAATTCACCCTTGCAGCAACATGATCGTCAGCCACTGCGACAGGAATCTTTTGCTTTTTAAAAGCCAACACAATGCGATGCACATCGGCATACGAAGGACACAGCACAGTGACCCGAATGCTGTCATTACGTTGCAATTCTCGTGTAAAAAATGCACCAATTGCCTTTTCTTCTGCTTCAGTGGTCTCAAATTTCCAGCATTGAAATGGGATCGGACAAAGTGCACCTCTTAACGGATTTACATTTTGCGTCAAGATTTGCTGAGCAAATACTTGCATTTGCTCTCGTCTTTCAGCTTCCTTGATATCAGATTGCATGGATACGCGAGTCACACTACGTTCAATTCCTGTCCAAATTGCTGTTTTTAGAAGCTGCTCTTCCAATTGCTGCGTCCGAGCACATTCGTTTTCAACGCCCAATACGCGGCTATAGCTCGCACTAGATTGAACACTCGGTTGACCACACAGATGGCCAAGAAGTTTCGCCATAGTAGGCGTAATTCTTTCAACATTCTCAATCACCACGTCTGTGTACTCTTTCATCACCATTTGGCTAAACTCTTTTGCTGTAATAGCTTCTTGCTTCGACGTACTTAAATCATGCAGTCCACACATTCCCGCTACTTCCAACACTACACCATCCCAAGATATGACGTTATGCTGCACCAATAGCTCCTGGTAGCGTTGGTACACCTCCACCAGCTTCTGTGGCACTAAATTATCAGACTTAGCAGCAACAGAGGCGTACTTCTCGGCAGTGACACCCTCTTTTTCTAGAAGATGAAAATGCTGTAGCAAATTCTGCACTCCTTTCCGTCGCTGCAGCGTTGACATGGCTGTAAGATGTGGTGCACCCGGTACTGAGATCCCATTATGTAACATTAATGCGGTCAATTGTGCGCGGTTGAACACACGGCGATCGCGATCACTTTCGCGCAGCAGCAGCTGACAAAATTCGCGCACGCCAAAGATTCCGTGGCCATGGCGTTCCAGCTCAAAAACGGACAACTCTTTCTCCAATTCTGCACGCACAAACGAGTCAAATGCAGGGCTTCCCGTAAGTAGTAAGATGCGACAATTTGGCTGCTGAAGAAGCCAGCGAACATGTTGCAAAGCTTGACGATTTGGCAAATTGGTGACCAAACTTTTGTGCACAGTGTTGGGTCTTGTGACTGGAAATGGGACATCAGAGTCGGATGAAGCTGAAGAATAGGATTTACATAATAAGCGATGGGTATATTTGGATGAATGACTGGTCTTGCGCAAAATAACAAAGCGCCAAGGCAAACGCTGCACTAAAAGTACCTGCCGAGCCATGGAAATGATGAGCAACTTTCAACACTTTTTAAAAAAAGTGGTATGTTAAATAATTTTTGAGAGGGCACGTTGGTCAAAAAGCTGAAGAACTTAGGGTGATCTGACATTATTTGTAGACGCGTGTGATTTGACACGAAGCGTATAGATGTTCACCAATCTTTTCAACGGTCAAGAAATCACGTTCAACGAGCTCCTGTTATGTGTGAGTCTCGAGGGGGGGGGCACGACTGACAGTCCAAGACAGAAGCTGTCACCGCTCCGGTTGAGGCTTACACTGCACGGTTATGAACAAAAACACAGTTTATATAGATATGTTCGTATGCACGAAGTGGTCTGAACACCAGACAACGAACGTCGCTGGCGTTTAAGACAGTCCTGGGACAAAGCAAGCCTAATGCATACCAGCAGCGGGGTTGCAGTAGCTCTTTGCTCAGAGAAAGCTTACTTAGGTCACTGACCTTACGTTCAATACCAGAACCAGTATGAGTGAAGCGGATCGCAATCCGCAACCTCCATGAGAACCCTAAATCTTAACCCAAGGCAAATGCACTCTTTCGTTCAATGTTAGAAATTTCGCTCAGCAATTTCGACGGTACGATCTTTCATATATGGGAATTCAAGATACAAAGTAAGCTCGAGACACGTGACTTGTGTATTTGCTGCAAAACCGCCTATATCGAAATCACTAGGGTTTTCTAATTAAATCGTAAAACCTAACTAATATGCAGCAGTCCCGTGGTTTCTTGTTCGGTGCAGCCACACCATTTGTGTGGTCAAACCATCTTGTGTGACCCACCCCTGTATACAACGGCGCACTATTTGCTACTCCTTAAGGTCTGTTGACCATTGGAGAATGCTGAAGATCAAAAACACCTTCTGTATGAAATTATCTAAACAGATACAGTCAGTTTTCGACTAAATAACACAAAGAGGCAATGACCGTGCACAAAAATCGAAAAATGACTACGTGTAACCCAGTTATAATACCACTTACTTACACTTAAAGAGCTCCCGGAATTCATAGAAAAAGCACAGTTTTTAAGTGTAATTGGTACAATCCACACATGAGGTGTAGAGAACAAAACACGATGCATTCGATTCGACCCTGCTATTCTGCTGCACATCCTTTCCAGATATAATTTTTGCGCTCAAGTGCTGGTCAATGTTAGCTTGCTATAAGCTTGCGCAATTTGCGATTTGCCGATAATATTGTTGATTCGGAAAGCGCCGCCGGATTGAAAATTTATCCCTTATCGAACTAGCTACATGCTTCGCTCGATAGAAAGCGTCCAAAACGCCGCATTGGTAATGTTGATCGACAAAGAACAAGTACTGATTGCCAGAATCCATTTAGCTTCATTAATGCTCTCCCTTATCTGGAAGCAACTCCTTGTGACGGGTCTATCGTCACCACTATGGGGTATTCTGTAATCAGAATTTATAGGGTCCAAAATTGTTAATGATAGCGGTACCGTTTCTTGCTCACTCAGCGGGTGATCTCAATGGCATTCCCTTAAATGGCAAATGTTATCCTCGTCAATGTCAAATGGCGAGCTTTGCTTCTTCTTCGTTATTGACGATCCAAGTCGATTATATTTTTCTTGCAAGTTCTTGCAAACATTCCCAAAATAAGACAACTTTTTAAGATCAATGAAAAATTTGCCTACGGAAGTACGGCTTGCATCCTTGATAGTTATCCAATCACTCTGTTTAGGGGACAAGAAACATTTCCGCCAAAATGTTCTTGCTCTCTTCTTAGTACAGTGTGCGCGTCACACGATATAACTGACTCAACAAACCGTCAAATCCTGACAAGATTGGGCCATCCTTACAAACAACAGTATATGATCCTTCTAATGAAGATGTATAGTTGCCTTTTTCTGCTTCAGGGCTTTGCCTTGAGAATGGTGCATTAAACTACATAAATTTTTCTTCTTGAGATCAAAATTCAGAGTCAAGACAACTGGTCGCTCCCAAACAACCTACTCTCAATAACTAATCTCTACGGACCCGGGATATCAGCTTTAATCATTCGTCTTTACGATAAAATACCTTTAGAAAGCTCAAGTTTGGTGAAGCTACAATGCTCTCCCGCGTCTGGGGACTAAACGCTGTACATCATTTGTACTTTGGCCGGAATGGTCACGCTCATCGTCGTGATATTATATGACTTAAGCACAGGCTACTGCGGCTCATAACGAGGACAGAATCTTAAGCCATTTGCATATATCGTGTATTGTAGAGCTTAGCTTGGGTGCAAGCAATTCAAGAGGTAACAAATAATGACCTGTGTACAATCTAGCAAATTCTAGGTTTAAGGTCAGAACTATTCACAGAAAGCCAGAATTACACCAGATAATTTCTATGACAATGTGTTGTGTAGCTACCCGCTAAACAAATAACAATTGAAGTCACTCCTGCGCCTTTGAGAGCAGTACAGTATTTGTTTGCATGATAATGATATAAATCAGAACGATCTGGTCGACTCTAAGTATAAATACCTTTTGAAAAAAGCCTGGGCTGATGTCCTAAAAACTTGTGTTATGTCGCCGGTAGTACATTGAACGAGAGGAAGCCCTCGACCAGTATTAATGAGAGGTAATTTGTCGCGTAAGAAGCGCGCTCAAACTCTTTATGTAGGCATGCGAGTCTCGCAGTGTACCATTACTAAGGATGGTCTGGTCTACAAAAATCACTCCTGGGCCAGTGAGTCGTAGCTAGCGCTAGGATCACAGACCCAGCGTTATCTTTATATTTTACAAAATAAGTGATCGGACAAATGGTTTAACTCGTTCATGTATGAAGCGATGACGTTTAAATCATGAGCACCCAAGTCGTAATTGCGTAAGGAACGGCGTGTCACTTTTCTATCGGCAGGAATCATGCTCGCGCTTTCTTTTCTGTATCAAGAAAAGGTATAAACTTGTTGATTATAGTCATGAGATTCGCGTGTTAACGGCATCATTGGTAGAACGCCGCGTGGCTTGAACATATTAAGGTGAGGGTAGCACTAGAGTAGGCCGGACCAAGCTGTTCAAATGCAGGTATCAGCTTTTAAAAATGTAGAATGTACTTCTAGAAATCATAGTCGTAACCTTTGTGGTTTTCCATTCGTGTTTTTTTCAAAAAGGCATAGAGACGCCATTGCTGTAGAACCCTTGGTAGTAGCTATACCGCTACTGCCTATTAACGCTAATGGCCTTGAGTGTGGCAGGGTAAAAGAACATACATTGCTTCGTTGCAACACGTCGATGTATATGTTCGGCTTGTGGGAATGTGCAGATAGAGCTTTTATCACCCTCAGAATGTTTGCGTTTCAAAGACAGAAACCACGATCGCAAATGCAGAATGCGACATATGCTGTAATAATAAATGAAATTTTACCTATCCTCCACTCGTCGAGGCTTGTCGTGGCGTTGGATGTTTGAAAAAATGCAACAGGTTTGTCAATATTGTGAAATACAGAGGAAATCGGCAGATTTCAGTGAGACAAGCAGATGGTATTATAATATAAAAGTATATGATGAACCAAAGCTTGGGTTCTTTGACTATCGGAAGCCGTGCTTGATCACCGACGTGAACAAGAACGACCTGTTTTGAGTGTAGTGTGGTGGGGATGGGTCCTCATATTAATTGGCGCGACGAGACCGAATGTATCAGCCGTTTCGCACATTCCAACAAAGCTGTGATGAGTCGTTGGTCCCATATCAATCAGACTTTTGGGCACCAAAACTGGCTACCTAAGCGAATTTTTTTCTGAGATCAACTCATTTACAAGTGAGCTATATGATTCCGCTACTAGCAAGTGAAGTTGGTGAGACAAAGAAGGGCGCTCTAAGAGTGAGCAAGAAATGTCACGCTTTATTCTTGGTAGGGGACAGCCTTGCTGAACATAGCTGCGCTAAACGTCGCAAAAGTATCCTTATTAGTGTAGCAAAGTTCGACACCGAATGGCAGATCATGACCAGCAATGATTAGTCATGTTCAGTATAAATGATGAAAAACGCCCAAGAGCTGCTACCTGATTGCTAAATACAACCATATACTATATTTATATGGTACAGCCCACACTGCGTTTGGGATGTTAGCTCAATGATAAATTGCTTGGACTACAATTAAAAGGTGATTGTTCGTGTGTATTACCCGTGTGAAGGTTTAAAAACCACATTATGCGAGCAACGATATTTTGCATAAGTTCGAAGAGAAGCCGATGTGCTGTCTTCGAGGTAAAACCAAGACGTAGCTACGAACGGGCTACACCGAATTGAATGTGGCGTGTTCGGGAATCAAGCCCAAACTACTCAAATATGGGTGGTCAATAGTCAAAGGAGTCGAATTTCTGCACGTAAAAGCTCGTGGATTTTCATTCTATTTACAACAACGTTGGAGGGTCGTCAGGGGGACATATGTCAGCTATTTGAAGAAACTGCCGTAACACATGATCTACTAAACCGAGTCTGTAGCCAAGCTCAAGACCGGTGAAACTAAGTCAGTGATGTTAATAACTTTATAGACCTTGATCGGGCCCATCGCTGTCAGCAAGAATATCTTTGAAGCTTTCTTTGCTGGCAAAGATACGCGCGTGGGACTCTGATTTTGACAAGATGCAATTGGTTCAGTAAGCCCACTGCTGTTGGAGTGCACACACTAAATGATTGAGAACTCATTGTCTCAAATTCCGCTAAAGTCTCGAGCAACAAAATATTATGTTACAAGACTGGAGGCACTTTCTTTACCGTAAAGGCAAATATTGGGATAGTGGGGATTGTATTCCCCGAACCTCTCGCCAATGTTTCGTGTTAGATCACGAACCGAAAGCTTCAGTACTACAGACCCCGATCCTCTAAAAATTGTATTGTTGGACAACATGCCCGGGTTGTGCGATGTCTATCAGATAGAAGGATGCTGCCAGGTCCGGATGCCTGGGCCGACGATTTCACTCAAAGCATAGAGCATCTGATCGTTATGCTTTGCAGCTTGCTATTGTTGTCATACGGTGTACTCGATGTTTCGGTTTCTTCCAATCATGTGGTTATGTAAGTGATTAGCTCTCTATCTGTTTGCAGATTTTAAGTTTTGACGATATAATTGCCCATAATGCCGGAAACCATCAATTCTAAGGTAATTACAAAGCTGAAAAGCATACAAGCACAATAATGATGTTGACGAGTGCATCAACGGCATAGAATATGTAAAAAATCGCTTTCGTGATGCAATAAGGAACGGCTTGCAGGCTTTGAGAAGATATGGGTCATAAGATTATCACTTTCGATTGTACCAAAAGGACTAGCGCATGAGGTAGAGATGAGACAAATACCTACAAAGCAAAACACACATAACCTGCCCAAACTTGTTGGAAAATTGAGCGAGGAATATACTTGAGGCCACACGACCATAAGATCATTGATAAAAGTTTACTACAAGTACCTCTACTGACTTTTGTAAGCGAGAACAATTGTTGAGTGTCTTTGTTACGGTTTTGATTATGCCATCACCTGAGTCCTACTGCAGCCTGGTGATAGGGACATGAACGAGTGATTCCCCTCCAGTTCAGGCAGATAAAGACTGCTGAATGAGAAATTTTTTTCTTTGACAAGGAGCTCATGGCGATGAAGAATGCTTTTTTGAGAATATAAGTGAGCTTTCAAGTCTCTTTGGCCATTTGAGTCGATACGGACCGGGCGCCTGTTTGGACGGCCATCCATAAATTATACTTGTAGCAACAGATGTCCAAATGACTGTCTTTCAAGTCAAATGTAGCAGAGCAAAAAAACTGGACAAGTATTAGCGTTAGGGTATCTTCGTTACTCTTTCGATTGAATCGTTCAAACTTATAATCAGTACACTTGTTAATGTGGGCACGCTAAGTCGAAGCTTTTCCTGCGCAAAGTACGCAGTAACCACGTCAAATTTAGTAGTACATCTTGTCAATCCCCAATCGAGTCTTTATAGACTATGTCCTTCACGAAATTAAATCATGAAATGCTCAAAACGCTACTAGACAAATTTGATACGCGTACATTTTGATTGAATCACAAAGATATATGATTTCAGGCAATCCAAATGCCGAAAGCGGCAATAGCTCGGTTTTTGGCGGTCGCCATTTATGAAAACGCATAGTTAGATACTTTCAGAAGTGCCTCGACCAAACGTCGATTGATAACCACATGGCACCAACCTGGAGATCGATAAAGATAAGCACCCAGCTCTTCAAGGACGAGACGGATAAATCTTTCACTCTGGACTTGTCAACAATTCCACATTGCAACAAGATTTCATTGTATTGAAATATATGCGCTACCCGATTGTACTCACTTTAATTAAAAAAAATATTGGACCATGAGGTTTCATTGCTTCCAATTAATTATATTCAAACTTAGCAAAAACGTAAAGTAAAACCCATTAAGTGGGTGATACATATCAAGCTTTATGCAAGCAAAAGTCTGCCTACTGTTATTCCCAACATAGCTTTCCATTACAATTGTCGCAGAAAGCATTGATCCATAAAAGGCAAAATCAGATATACATGGCTGTAGAGCGAGCCGGAACAGAAAGTGATAAGTGTGCGAACCTGCCATGCACTTACCACTCGTTAGGTGGGCTTCGCTCGGCTAGTTATGTATCCGTTTGAGTCTTTTTTAACTTGACGTTAAAGAGCAACATCAAGTGCTCTGTTACTTGAGAGGCTAATGGTCCGGTGCATCGGACCTATCCTCTGAGAGTTAATTAGCGCGGACGCTTAGATTCAAAGCTTCTTGTATTAAATGCACGACAATTGTATTAAATGTTTTTTGTATTTGTTAGCGCAAACATTATGAGCCTAAAGCTTCCTCTGTGCAGAGTGCATGACAACTTCGTTGCATAGCACGCAAACTATAAATGAGCAACAACTTACGCTCCATAAGTTTTGTTATAGTCAAGATCGAAGATCGTTGTTTTACCGTATGATTAGTCTGGCAGCAATATTTTGATAAGTTGGACAAAGTATTGTTGTGTATGAGCAGATGGACGATGTGTCGATGGATGCGCAAGATTACCAATATTTCTGCTATCTACATCGCAGGTATTGTATTACATTGTATCGGTTTGAAATAGCTCACTGATAAGGTGTATGTATAGCTACGCGATTAGTCACCAGACGAAATACTGACATGTTTCTTGGAGGCGCAAGGATCGTTCACTGACTACTTCGTATTTGTATACTATCATCGCTTTAATATTCAAGTGAGACTATTAGCAATTAAACACGGTTGGACGGCTTCGGACCACAAGACTCACAAAGATGACAATGAATACTCAAGTTGATCAACCCAGCAATTGAGCACTTATTTACTTATCTTTTTAAGGTCTAAGCCACAAGAGTCGAGGCAGTGGCAGACTCATACTTCCAATTGGGCGAAAGCTTGCGGTTCTTGCGGTAATAACGAGCAAGGCGATGGATACGCGACTCGATAAGAATAAGACGGAACTTAGAGTCCTTGTCCTGACGATTTCGCTCCAAGTGCTTGCGAACAGCCACCGCCTTCTTAATGAGCATGTACAGGTCCTCCGGTAGCTCAGGGGCAAGACCTTTAAATACCAAAAATAATTCAAACCCGCGTATTCCCACGTCAAACGGAGAGGCAACAAATCGCCATCACACCCGCACGTCAGGTGATACCGAGCACGTTCATAGCAAGACAAATTACACAGATACGTCAAAAATCTTCAAACAGTGACACTAATACGCAGAAAAGAACAAACGAACCGTTCTTCTTGAGAACACGAAGTACTTTAGAGCCCGTGACGCTCTTCACCTGAGCGATTCCATGTGAATCACGTAGGATGACACCAATTTGAGAAGGGGTCAAACCCTTCTTAGCAAACTTGCAAATGTGGTCCTCCACATCCTCAGCTGAGACCTTCAGCCACGAAGGTGGCGAGCGTTTGTATGGGCGAGCAGACTTGCTCATACCCTTACCGTGAGAATGCATACGACCCATGGTGATAAATGCTACGTTGAATTGGCTGGAACGGAGATCAAATAGTGAGCGATGAATATGTCCGAAAACACGCCGCACCAACCAACTTTCATGCGGATGATTGGATAAAAAGTGTAAACTTTTAATTGCTAATTATTTTGCAACCGATGGGAAATAGTGATGACGAAAGCGTAGCGTTCCGGACCAATGCATTAGACGTGGTGGGGTCATGGCTTTTAGGTGACAGTGAAGACTCCTCGCAAGCTAGTCAGCAGCAGCACCGTCCTGTTATCCTTTACCGCCCATCATCGGTCTCATCTGGTAAAAGTATGTCCAGCCTGACGCGCCCTAAAGCTGTTAGCACCGCAGCCAATTTAACGGAGCAGGAGCGTAAAATGAAAAGCAAGATACTGCGGAATCCGTGCGCTAGGCGCGAAGAGGATGCTGTCAGGTCGGAGAAGGAAGCGCAAGTGCAACTCGAGGATGCGCAAGATGAAGAGGAGCAAGAACTTTTGCGTTCTAGAAACCTAAGTAGCAAGCTCGACATGAAGCGCAAAAGAACGACACAAGAAGAGCTTCTAGACACGCTGCGTGAAGAGGCGGTGAAGAAGAGAGCTAAGAATTTAAAGCGTAAACTGCAATTACAGCGCAAAAAGCATCAACAACAGAATAAAGTCGCAACCTTACAAGGGCAAAAAGTCGAGAGAACGCTTCTGACGTGACATTGTTTTCACTATTTAAGACCTGGCTTGGATTTTGTAAATATTAAATGATTGTGTTATTGTTTGTCAACAAATCAAGTCTGTGAATTTTATCTCTTACTCTCCCTTTACCAAAGGGACACCATGAGGCAACTACATACATGTTGCTAGGATATTCACTTCATGATGTAAAAAGCAGATACTAGTGATGTACCACAGATCCATGCTTCGTCAATAAGCTTCAAGAATACGCCACGACCATAATTATAAGCAATTGGTTATATACATAGTTGTTATACGTTGTCGAAACCAAACGGGGTGGGGACCAAAAGGTTCGCCCTCAAGCGCGCCGTGCAATAGGTAAGGTACGTGGGAATCGTCGTATGGTCATTTTTATTATCAAATAATCTTTTGTTTTGACCAGATCCAAATTTGATCAAAAATCCAGGTTTATTCGCCGCACCATCTGCTGAACATCCGAGCAGCTTTTCAGGCCGATCAGAGCAAAATGCACCAAAGAGCCTCTGAAGCATTTTTGTTTTGCTTCTTCCGTGCGGCTTTCTTCGAATGGGACTGCAATAACGTGAAGGTTCTAAATTTGTGAAAGGTGGAAGTATCAAATCCTCACAGCAGTGTATGAAGTACCATGAGTATCAGTTGATATCAGTTGATCCATCAAAGACAACAGAAAACGCCCAAACATCCTCAGGATCTCTATGATATCGTGGAAAAAATCAGCTCATACAACTCGTGCATACTTGGCAATGATATATTTATTGCAGTACCCCAGTTTGCGAACTGCTTTTTTACAGCTTTAGAGGCCATCCGGAACGACAGTGCTTGGCTCACACATTTTACAACTAAATCAAATTGTTTGACTTGATTTATTTTCACTTCATATGAGCGGCCGTCTCTGTTTGATGTAACAATCAGCTGCAGGAAACTCGTTGTCTTCTTCTCCACTTTGCAGCAGAAGCATTCCAACGATAGCTTCGACGATGTCTTCGTGAACCGCAAAGAGAAACGCCTGTGTTTGTATCTTCACATACGAATCGATCTTGTTGACATGCGTCGTGCTAGCTAATATATCAAAAAAAAGTGTCCACTTGTTCAGACAAGAGCGTGCGATATTCCGGATATTGGGTGGGGTAGTTGATTTGTGCTGCTGGCTATGATTTTCGAGACTGAATGGTGGTCCCTCGAAAGTCCAGGATGTACACGAATTCTTTGATATGCATTTCTACCGTAGACAACATAATTGACACATGACACCGCAATGCTGAGTCCGTTTTCTGTCAAATATTTTATTTGAAACGATGTCATTCGCGATCGGAAAAATCCTTTGCGTGGCCATTTAGCTTGCTAATGCCCTTCGGCAGCATCTTCAGTATCAATGGCACTAATGTTAACATCGAAGGAGGGCATGAGGTCGTTCAGCAAAAAACAACAATTTATTTGCGACTGAACTGCAAATTAAGGAAAAGACCGTTTAAGGCATCACGCAGAAATGAAATACGACACCTTAGGCGTCTATTTGAGAGTGTCTTCTGCACATGAGCATACGTGCAATTTCTCGATTGTGATGAATTTGTGTTTAACCAGCCTTGTCAACGCGACACAACCAACCTGCGAATTTAAGATCCAATTACAGACGTTAGCCGGCTCCTTGTTAACGATGAGTTATGACGCAAACCATCTCTTAGATACAGTTAATATTATACAATGTCTCACATTCATTAAACCAAGGCGTCGGACATGTTGATCAAGTAATATATGTCCACAATATAGACTAGGATCTTTCGAGCCAGTTACTAACATTACTAGCTCCTGAATTGCCGCTCGCAACCGTCTACGCTGAAGTTTAGGTACAAGATGAAGACACAAACTCAAGCTCCTTCGTCAAGGACTTCATGCAAGTGAGCTAGATGATGAGAACAGACTGAACGCGCAGTTTATAACGGTATCGAAAATGTCTTCAACTCTGAGAGAAACTTTTACATATTGTTTTAAAACTAAAGCTCAAACTCTTCCTTGTGCACATCAAAGTAGCGGATTCCGATGTCTGCAACGGCATACTCAACGGATCTTTTGAGTTCTTTGGGACCCGAGACAAATACGCCTACTGTTGCATTCCCTACAGTCAACAAATTAGTTTGCGTTTTTCTAAACTCCACGTGCTGTACAAACGCCGAATTCATCAGCTCTGCAATATTGGCACGATGACCAATTTCAACGCTAAACTCTCTAATGAGGTCACGAAACGTATGTACATCAGGAGCAATGGAAGAAGGATATGGCATATGCACCGTATCGAACGTCTGGCTCGTAGTGGTCTCAGGGTCATTCATATGCTTTGTTAGAGCCACGCCTGTATACACGACTATCATGGTCACAGCAAAAAGCAACGAAATCTCGATAAAGCTTTGCAGCGGCCAAAGTGTTTTGTCTATAGCTTCCACTTTGTTGCCATACTTGACAACCAGTACGACAAGCAATGTTGTCAAAAAGGACGCAGAGAACACAGCAACTTTGCTTGCACATGAGTACAGCGGTGACCTAAACGGTCTTGGCACCTTTGACGAATAGTACTGAGTAGCGTCCACAAGTCGTTTTTCGCTGGTACGCTGACGGTTGATCGACTTGTCAAGCTCTGTAGCTGTTGGTGTACGAGTGAGGTACAGATGCTGACACAAATATCGCTGGGATGGATCCAGCTCTTTGATCTGCTGCAGTATTGGGTAGATTTCTTCCAGTAGTGAAAGTTCTCGGAATGAGAAGATAAAGGTTAATTTTTGATTCAACTTCTCGCCGCGGCGCAATTTAGCCACCGTATCCTCAAGAATAGCGAGCAGAGGAGTGACTCCGATCCCACCACCCACAAGACAAATAGTAGAATACTCGTCGTATATATCGAGTGACGCACCATAAAAGCCGTCCATGTAGATTGTCGGTAGAATATTTCTCGACTTGCAAGATTCGAAATACTTAACTAATTCTTGGGTCCAGTCCCCAACCGCTTTTGATAGAATCGTCAAAGTATCCGGACTACTACGTGGGGCTGAGGCAATACTAAATGCGTGCCACTGCAGCTGCGATATTGAAGGAACTTTCAAGTAAACAAATTGGCCGACATGAAAGTCACTTGTAGGGTTCGCGGAACGATAAAGCACCATTTTGATTACACCATGAGAATGCGTTGTGAAGTCGCTTACTGCCACAGGGGTAAAGCCATTACAATTTGAAATACAGCGACAAATTGTGTAGAGTATGAGCGACGGAAGCAGCCATGCCAGTACCGGATTCCAGTGCAAAACAGCGAAAACAAGTCCGACGACAAAAAGGTGGTGAACGCTGTAAAATGTGTTGTAACAATTTCGTCTCATCCACGGAATTGAAGTGATTCCTATGGCCAAAAAGCTAAGTAGTGCCATTTCTCCAAAGAAATTTCTCCATTTATCGTGTCCCTCATCGCTAATATCGCAGTTAAAGCAAGGAAAAACGTTGGCTTTCCATTCGCCAATTCTAAGCCACGACCAGTAGTAACCGATACAGTGGAATAGTGCTGTCAGAATTGTAGCAACACCGATCCAACGGTGATACTTGATACCATTGGCATAGGAAATGTTGAGAAACTCCATCCAGACGCAGTTTCGCGTAGCCGGTAGGAAAAGAAACGCCAAGTTAAAGACGCAATTGAATCCAAAAGTGATTGATACCATTTCGAGATATAGTTGAAAGTTAAAGTCAAGCCCCTTCTTATGGCTTTTATTCACTCGTTTCAAGTAATAAAAGTAAAATACGTACATATTGCCTCCTATAAGAAAAGCAAGAAACAGAAATTCACCAAGACTTAGTCGTGTGACATGGCCGAACAGTCGTGGTTTACGGCGTAATACGCGGCAAGTTTTAAGAAATGTTGACAACGTTACCCGATGCATGTTAAAACGTTTTAGTAGCTCAAAAATAACCAACGATACCGCAAGTGGGACAAAGCAGACGAGGACAAAGAACGTCGGACGCACCATCTCCTTATGACCAATCTTGCTGTCCTTCTTCGCATCGATTGGCACATGATACCACATTCCAATTGTTGTACTGACATCAGAGTACGTCTTTGAGAAGTAGAAGAGCTGGCTGTATGCATAAATCAACATGGCGAGAAGGATAAAGCCTTGCAATACGATCCTGATAGTTGAAAAACGATCAGACAGAAGGTATTGAGATGCATTGACTATTGTGCTGCGCTTTTCATCAATGTCGGGAGTTTTGAGAGTTGCTAATTCCGCGTCAATTTGAGGAGTTGTGTTCGCGTCTGATGCCATCGTCGACCGCATGGCTTGATTTTGTCTGATCGAAGTGTGAAGGGCTCGAAGAGATTGCGTGATAGAATGAAAATGCCAAGGAGCGAATCAGAGGTTTGCCATACACAAAAGACCTTGAACCAATGACAAGCGATACAGCGATGATGAAGCCATCTCGACTTTAGGTACTGCATGTCTCTAGGTATACATTTTTGATATGCTGGCTGATAGGCAGACAATTGATAGTCATCCGGCTCTCAACCATTCATGCACCTGCTATTCAAATCATATTGCGTGTCAAAAAAAAGGTTTTGAATTTTAAACTCTGAGAGCAGAATCAGGTTGTCAAATAAAATTACCTCTCATATTTCATGGAAAGTCACGATTTTTTTATGAGGAGTACAGCTAAATATGGTAAATAGTATTCTGACCAGTCATACTGAAGCGCGAGATGTACCAGTGCTCACTAACACAGCGTTTTGCCAATGCAGGATAAGTCAAACCGTCCGACTTTCACCAATGTGCCAAAGAGCCAATGTACGTTCACCTCCTTTGGATAATTGTAATGTTTTGGACTAATTGATCTGCAATAATGTTTATGAACAGTGTTATCTAAACTGGAAGCTTTTTTGCCCATGATGGAAGCGGAAAACAAAAAGCTGAGCGAAGCCGTTGCAGCCGGAGAAGGCGCGAAACACAACATTGAAATAGAAGAATCTGAGGATGATGATCTGACAGGAAGCGATGAGGAAAAAAAGCAGCAGAAGTGTGACAAGGTGCCTGTGATTGAAATGGTGCGAAAAGTTTTGGTTGCAATTGTGTAGTCTTTATACTGTGAGCACCTTGAATATCATATTGCTAACGGCTGCTGGGTCAATACAATATACAACACATAGAATTTTGCGATCAGCACGATGGATGAGGGTGATATTGACTCCGAAAATTTGGACGCAGCTATAGTCCCGGACGCGATGGCCACAAGAAAAGAATTTGATGTCAGTTCAGATTTAAAGCAGCAGCACGATGAAGCGTCATCGTTTCAATTGCAGCTTAAAAAGCCGAGCAACAAGCCTCATGCCATCATCCAGGAACTAAATTAATACCAAACTCTAAATTGCGGCCTTACTTCCGATAGCTGAATTTGTTGGAAGTTTTGTTCTTCACATATTTTTGAAGTATTTTAGTTTGCGATATACCGGTAGTTTTTATTACCAGTATGTCCCTCAGACCGCCTAACCATTCTCAGTTATCTAAAACCACTAAGTTGTCAATCGGTCGTCGTCAACATGTTCTACACGCTCTCGCAGAAGCTCTCGAAGGGAAGTACCATGGCTATTACTATCCCGACCATCATCGGGATGTCTTATGCCACCTTTGCTTTCTTTCGTTATACTGGTGCGTTAGCTGACACGATATCAATGCTGCTGTACTAATCCTAAGCTGCTGACAGGCCCCGACAACGGCGGTAGCGTGCGCGGTACACCAAAGACTACGTCAGCCGAGTGGCAGGCAGCCTCTATTGAATACGGCAAGGCCCAAAAGGCTAACCCGATTCGCCACTTCAGAGACTAAGTACAGATCAGCAGTGTAAGCGTGCCTCCTGCTCCTAGTAGGCGAGGGTACCTGTTATATCTGACGTGGAGGTGAAATGGCCAACAGAGACACCCCTTGTGACCTGTCACTGATGATTGAAGACAGACATAAAACAGTTTCTCCGTCAATAAGAAGGATACGCTTTTTATTCATCCTACTAATGTGTATGTCGACAGTTAGGCTCCTTTTTTGCGGGTCCAAACAGCCTTTTACGCCGATTTTAACCCCTAGTAGCATATGCAGGTGATATCTTATGTTAGCGGCCAATTCATGCATATAGGCTTAACATTGTCACGCACCAATCCTTCCATCTGGGCTCTACGCTTAGCTTCAGCAGCGTCCCAGTCTTCTTTGGCACACTTTTGAAGTCTCTTCTCCGCCTCTTCCTCGTCTTGGAGCTGCTGCTTGTCTTCATCGTCGCGAAATCCATAGTAGTCAGGCTTGATGTGCTTGTACATATCATCTCGAGTGCGTTTCTGAGGCTCAACCTCCTCCTTTTGAAACAGCTCGCGGACACCAGGGAGGTCTTTGGCAGCGCCAAAATATTTGTAGCCACCGACTGCAGTCACCGCTACGCCGTCTGCATCATAAACCTGTGACTGAGTTGATAGATAGTTAGACCCGCCCAGCTCTATGATCCTCCGCTCCCAGTGACGTTTTTCTAGAATACGTTTGTTGATCTCATCGTTGAGATCTCGAATCACATGCTCACTCGAACCACCTGAAGATAATCCACATCCAATTGATCATTCGATAACCAAATAAAAAAATGCCGCATCGAAATACCATTTTGAATGTCTGCCACTTTCTTTGCAATTTCACGAACGACTTGCCGCCGCCAGCGTTCTGCGTCCTTAAGGTTGTCACACTGTGACGTCAAGTACGGCCTTCGACTGAAACAGGTAGTGCTTAGTACACCCAAGATGCCCGCACGATAAATTTCAGAGATGAACTGACTTCTTGAAAGTATCGGCAAAGTCCTGCTTCATAGACGTCCATCGGTTTAGCAGCGACTGCGCCTTCTCTTCATTACGCGCCATTCTATCTAGCAATGTCACTATATTTGTGGTACACACCAGACTTAATTTAACGCGAGGTGTTATCAAAGCGATATCATGGTGGGGCTTTATTCCGCGGTGACTCACTCGACGCTATGGTGCCATTATAGCCGCAGACTGTTTTCAACTATCAAACCACAGGTAGCAAACTACGATTTATTGGTCATCGGCAGCGGCCCATCTGCCACACAATGTGCAATCGAGTCTGCCAAGCAGGGCAAACGTGTAGCCATCGTGGATAAAAAGACACGGCTTGGTGGCGTGTGTGTCCACACTGGTACTATTCCGTCTAAAACATTTCGTGAGGCTGTGTTACATCTGTCTGGATATCGTCACCATGGATTTTATGGAAAATCGTACAGTATGAAGACTGTGACAATTGAAGATATTCTGTATCGTGTGCAACGTGTTGTAAGCTCGGAGGAAGATGTAGTGCGCGCCCAATTAAAGGCTGCTCGAGTGGATGTCATTCCAGGATTTGCACGATTTGAAAATGAACATGAAATTTCCATCCTACGAGATGTAGATACTCAGACGAAAAAGGAAATTTCAGCCTCAAGCGTGGACTCGCTCTCACGTGCTAAAGCAGACAAATTTCTCATAGCGTGTGGTACAAGACCGGCGCATAATCCACTCATACCGATTGACGGAAAGGTTGTCATCGATAGCGACCAAATTCTTAGTCGAGACATGCACCTTTTGCCTCGTTCTCTTATCGTCATGGGTGCAGGTGTCATCGGCATGGAGTACGCATCCATGGTGAACGTTGTACCCGGCCACTCGGTCACTGTGGTAGACAGTCGACCTGATGTAAGAATAGCTGCTGACTACTGAAAAATTGTTGCTTACGAAATGTTTAAACGTGTGTGCTCAGATTTTACCCTTCTGTGACCTCGAGATTATTAGCAACCTTACATACGAAATGCAAAGCAATGGAGCGCGCTTTCTTCTTGGTGAAACTGTAAAGAAGGTTGAGGTAAGTTGTCGAATCAAATTTTAATACAGTTTTGTATACCTTATTTTAAAGTGTGTTCTGCTCAGACGACAAAAAATCAAGTGAAAGTCTTTTTTAACAGTGGAAAAGTCCTAAGCGCCGATGCTCTTCTGTACACGGTAGGACGTCAAGCAGCGACCGATGGCTTGAATCTGGAAGCGGTCGGGCTTTCTCGCAACCATCGCGGCCTCATTAACGTTAACAAGAACTATCAGACCGATCGGCCTCACATGTGAGAGTGTTATTCTTGCTTTCTCAAATACAACTTATCCTTTGATGTGTATCTGTCTCTAGCTACGCTGCCGGCGATTGCATTGGTGCTCCTGCACTTGCATCCACAAGTATGGAACAAGGCCGTCTAGCATCATGTCACATGTGGAAACCGAATGAAGAGCTGGCCGCAACAAGTCAATTGGAAAGTGGTAATTACCCGTACGGTATCTACACAATTCCTGAAATCTCGATGGTAGGGCAAACAGAGCAGCAACTCACGAAAAACTGCATCAATTATGAGATCGGAATCGCAAAATACTCTGAACTTGCAAAAGGTCAAATGATGGGGGCAATGGCTGGGGGTACACTTAAGATTTTGTTTGACCCTGAAACATTAAGTTTACTTGGCGTGCACGCCATTGGGGAGGGGGCCACGGAGACTATTCACATTGGACAGGTTGCAATGGCTATGGGCTGTTCTTTGACATATTTTCGCGACGCTGTATTCAACTATCCCACTCTAGCAGAAGCTTACCGCGTCGCTGCTCTTAATGGATTGGGCCGTCTCAGCCGTGACGCTGAAGAACACTGAGTTGACGGGTTGTGCAAAATTAAAATTACATTCTTACCCGCTTGAAACAAGTAAGCGTGCTAATCAAAAATATGAATTGACTCGGAACGTCAACACCAAAAACCAAGGCACTCCCTTATTTCTAGGATTCATATTCAAGGGAGGGAAACATTTAGATAGTAGATAGTAATTTTAACATCACGAGATCGTTTGTATACGATCACTTACAACTTTCTATAGGGATTGTGCAAACCGGCAGCAGTCATCCTATCGTGCAATATTACAGAGTTGCATTCACGGTAATAATTATGAGGGCTTATTGCAAAAGGTGATACAAATAGAACATATTCGCGAGATGTGATACAACTGTGTTCTAAATACTAAAGATATGAGACCTAGTAAAATTACCGAATGTAGCCATTCTTGGGTCACCGTTACATTGAAGGCGTGTGCCATAGATGGAGGAACTAAAGCAGAAGAGATGGACTAACGGCAACGAGGCTGTGCGAGCAATCAAAGATGTCGTACTAAAAGTGGAAGTGTGCAGTCGTCATCAACAAAGGGGGGACGTTTCGTTTATTACAGTGTGACAGTGCAATTATTGGTTACCTTGTGCTAGTGCGACATCTTTGATTGCTCGCACAGCCTCCTTGCCGTTAGTCCATCTATTCTACTTGAGCTCCTCCATCTCCATGGCACACACCTACAATACCAAGAATGGCTACATCCGGTAATTTTACCACGTCTCGTATATTTTTTAGTATCTAGAACACAAATGTATCACATCTCGCGAATATTTTCTATTTGTATCACCTTTTGCAATAAACCCTACGTCGTTTTTGGAAATGTTTAATTTCAATCTCATTCATGCATTTTTTGGCATTCTTTCCATGTTTACTTTCGCCGAATGTGCATGTATCTATTAATACTTCTTTAAAAGGTGAAATGTCTATGTTACGCCGTCTCAGAGCGATAATTTGTCTCGATCACCGCTTGTGAACTGAAGAATACCCAGGTCGTCGCCGGTCGCTGTCTGTATAATATATGCTTTTGCCGTGAGGGTGCTGCCACCAATTCATCAGCAGCGTGTTCGTGTGAATTTTACTGAACTGGCAATTATACGCAAAATCATCGTCTCAGTCACGAGAGTAGATGATAGCTATAACGAGTTTGTCGTGCGCTTTGCACAGAGCAAGCTTCGACTCAAATGTCCGCATTAACAAACGCGCAGAAGTTGAAATCGTACGCGTAGGGGCAGGTCCGAACGTCCCTAGCGTAATAGTTATCCAGCTAGCTTTGCTATTCACGAGTTTGCAATCTTAGCGTCAATTGCATTAAGCCAAATTTCTTCACTATAGGGGCAGCTCAAACGTAACTAATTGCTAGGTCAGCTCTCCCCTCAAGGTACAAATATTTACCAGCAGTAACCAGCTTTTTTTATTCATATAATACTGGTTGTTTGATGTACGGCAAGCAGCCTACATTTCGATGAACATTTCCTTTACGGGAGTTCGTTAATAGCGTACTGGATGCTTATATAAATTCACAATTACATAAAGTTAGAAATTAATCTTGAACAATTATATTAAAAGTGTCAGGTGCTAGCACACAAGATTGCAGTGCTTGCCCCAGAACAGTAGCAGTGTCGAAAGGTGTCACAAAAAGAAATTAAATATTTCAGGCGAATTCGCAAAAATCACCTGCCTTTTGCTTGGAAACAGGCTATTGCAATGATTTTCGTCGTCGGAACCTCGATCACTGACGTAATGGCTGGGATATGCTTTGGCACGAAGACGAAATGCCAGAGCAAACACGATGTAAAACACAGTCGCTGTCCAAGCTGAAGAATGATGGTCAATATAAATTGAGAACGACAGCTGTAACGGGGTTACGCACCCTGGTAACAGGGGTGTGTGTCACACGAGATGGGCATGGTGTGACTGCACCCAAATAAGAATACGGTATGTGGCTGGGTAGCCAGTAATTATGCATGGATTTGGATTTTACTATATATAGGAAATTTAAACATTAAGAATTAGGCGGCTTTGTCGCAGATAAAACAAATAAATACAGTTCGCATTTTTAACAGAAGATTTTATAAATCTTGGGTTAAGATTCTAACTACTCGTGGAGATAGCGGATTGTGATCCGCTACACTCGTACTGGTTAACGTAAGGTCGGTGACCTAAATTGAGCTTCCTCTAAGCGCAAAGCTACGGCAGCCCTGCTGCCCTTGGTAGCAGGGTTGACGCCCGGCGTCTTGCAGCCAGCATACGGCGTCGTCGTCGCCTCTGTACAGAGGTTCTATGTCTCAGTGAGCCAGGGTCAACACGCATTCTACGTCGTCCGGTGTCACCCGCACTGTCCGCTCCTTTGGAGTTCCGATGTTATCTACAACATCGGACGAAGAGCTGCTAACCCCGCAGTCCTCGTTCAGTATATAATGTGCCACTGAGTGGTTTACGCGCCACTTCACGCGCATCACGGGGGCCTCGCCCTCGATGCCTCGGCCCTTGGCCGACCATGTTGCGCATGACATGCAGCGTTTGCTCCAAAACTAGAGCAGCGCTCAGTGGGTTACGTGCCATTCCACGATCAGCCCGCGAGACACGCTCGAGACTTCTGTCCGACACCGATGGTGTCTACCAACTCGGACATTCCAATAACCAGCACGTTGACCGTCTCGGTCCAGTGCTCTCGCCAAAAGCGCTTTTGTCTTCTAGCAGAGGTGGGTTCATGATTCGCCAAAGCTCCACCAGGAGACGTGCACGTAGCGTCCAAGGTCTTTGACCTTCAATCAATCCATGGCTCATGGTGTTCCAACCATGCCATTCCTAGGATAAGGTCATTCCTTGCATTTAAGTCTAAGACTAGACAGCGTTCCACGCTATCAAAGTCAAGGAACTTGACTCCGAGGTCCATAGGGACCATCGGGACCGTGACACGCGTCTCCGTCGCTAGGCGAACAGGCACGATGTCACCCAACCGTGCTTTCAGCGCCTCATCATACAGTTGACTTCCTTCCATCGTGGAGCGTCGAGCTTAAGTGCCCGACGCTCCGGAATCGATGAGTATCTTCCATGGCTTCTCGAAGCCCTTTACGGTCGCCTCTACGATCAGCAAGCCCGGCTTGCATACACGTTCCGTGTTCAAGAGCACGGAGCTCTTCGGGGCTGGGCCCCGTTGCCCTCTACCTCCCTGAGATTCAACAAAACTCAGTTCTTCCCCAGTAGGTTGCCCTGCGCCTACCGAGTGTTGTCGTTTCCCCGCGACGAACCAGACTGGTAGAATTTGGGGTGATGGTTCGAAGAATCTCGATGCGCCTTGCGCAGGGGACAACCGTTCCGCAGGTGACGAATGTCTCTACAGACAAAACACCGTCGTGGGTTTGCGTGCTGCCCGGCAGCTCGGAGCAGAGCTCCCTCGTCCTCAGCATAGCTGAGATCCATGGGCACAGGCCCACTCGACGAGCTGTCGGAGTGTGCATTCCAACCAAGTTGTGCCGACTTGAAATTGAACTCGGCATTCAATGCCACATTCACCGCCTCTTCAAACGAAGATGGATGCACACGGAAGACTACCATTCTGACCACGCCAGTGCGGAGGCCCATAAACACGGTCACTGTGACCGCCTCCGGAAGGGGATCTGCTGCCATCCCGGCAATCAGAGTGCGCATCTCTTAATTTCAACAATTCCTTGTTGCCCTGTCGGGCGGCAAGGAAACGCATCGTACACGATATGCCTGATTAGGCGGCGAGAACACTCATGAGAGCTGCAATTTCAGCTCCGCCCAGGATGGAAACGCAGCTTCACCGAAGTGCCGCACGTCAGTGCCCATTCTCGTGCTCGACCACCGAGCTTCGAGATGGCTAGCGCCACGCGCTGTTGCTCGGTCTGGAGCATGGCGGATGCGAT